CCATGCCAGTGCTGGCATGTAGCTCTGCTATGTGGGTAGGTAGGTCATCGTCGCACAATGTGAAGGAAATGCAAACGACCCCACACCATCACACCACAAAAAGCGCAAATACCCCGAGCCTGACTTCGTCAACGAGAGGACCGGAGGCAAGAAAGGAAGCTACCCCATAAGATTCAAACTGAAAGCAGCCGCATTCACGCGAGTCCTTCGCGAGGATGGTCAACCAGTGGGAAATTCCGGAGCGGCGAAAGTTCTCGGGGTGGATCGCAGGCGCATCATCACCTGGATCGGCGAGGAGGCAGCAATGAAGAAGCTGGTGAAGGAGAAGCCTAAACTTTCAAAGGCAAAATCGATTCACGCTGGCATGGCACCTACGACAGCCGATGTCGAAGAAGTCCAGTCGGTGCTTGAAAATCGAGGATGGTGTATGTACAAGCCCTGACTACACATCACACGAGCCGACTCGACATGAATCACCTCAGCAGCAATTATCGACGGCCGTGTCGACGACCAGGAAACCACAAGGGTATGCATGCCACCGAGAATCTTTGCAGCAGCACACAAGCGCTCCCTTTAACACCTCCCGCCTCTCACCACTCGCCCTGTTCATCGGCCATCCCAGGTACATGAAGCGGCAAAAGTGTCCCGCTCTCCCGCTGTCCGTGGATGGGCATGCTCCCATTGAGCCGCGCACATGCCCTTTACGAGCTTACCAATAACGTGGTGGGCCATCCTCTGGACGTCCCCTCCTCCCATGTGCTCCTTGCGCCCCCTCTCCCGGGCATAAAGCTGCCCGCAGTGGAGCGTGTCAGCATCGGTCCTAGTGTGGGCGTTGCCTCTCGTCCGTGCATCTCGTATGCAGCAACGTCTCTCAAAAGCGATCAATCCCTTGCCTTGCCTACGATTGGGTCCAATTGCGAGCCTCACATCAAAACCTGAGGTGTGCATCAAGCCTGAGAAAGGAAGCAACGTATGGCGGCGTAGTAACGCTGCAACGCTCCAACCCATCCGCTACCGTCTATAATCTCGCCGCATTTTTTGTGCGGCGGGATTTCCGTAGCTGGAGCCGCTTACAGTAGTAAGCCCCCCAGCCATCCGGAATACGGGCTAAATCCCCCGCGCATCCTGACTAGGCCGTTGCGGGTGCGGGGCTGATCGGCGGGTTTAGGGTTCCAGCTAGCTGCAGTCTACCGCTTGCTGTAGATATGGATCCTTGTTGGTTGTTCCATTTGCTGTTGTCAAAGAAAGCGTGGCACCGCCCGGCGAAAATTCTTTGATCAATCCTGTCAACCGGACCATTCTGTGATGAAATCTTTCGAATAGTTTATTTGTTGTGTTCAGCTCAACATGGGCGGGAGAAGGAGAAGGTGCTTGGGTGTGAGGGGGCCGGGGGGGCACACACACACGCTGGTTCACACCTGCTGCCGCTATCGCACGGTCATCATCCCCCTTTGCTGTGGTACAGGCCAGTTGCTGCTTACTTGGGATCATGGAGCCTGTCCTTGCCAACGTGGTGCACCTAGTCATGGCTGGGTTCAAGAAACGGAGGCGCGGTGAGGACGAGAGCGACGTCGTTCTGGACGTTCCGGAAAAAATCATCCCTGGAAAAACACAGCGAAAAGGTGCGTGCTCCCCCTCTGTTGAGTAGCTTTGTGCGTCGGTGCCTTGGCGCGCGGGGTCCGTTGGTTGGGAAATAAAAGAGCCAGCGGCGCGGTAGCAGCCAACGGTACAGTGTAGGAACTATGATGGGCGTGACAGCCTTCTACTTTGGGATGGAGCATAATAGCTCGGGTATGGTATCTCTGGATGTGGCGTGGAACCCTGGTGACGTGATAGTCGTGGTATAAAGGTATAAGTAAGGACGTGGATGTCCGGAAGACGTGATAGCCGGGTGGCGTGATAGCCAGGATTGGCGTGGAAGTCGTGGCGTGATAGCCGTGGTAGCGTGATAGCCGGGGAAAAAGGACTTAATTGCACACAGGAAGGAGGAACAAGAAGAAAAAAAACAAGCGAGAAGCCACAACACACAATCACCATATCCGTTGTAGACACACACATACTCCGACCCTCAATCCTGTAATATGCGGCAAAGTAGCTGGTACCACCAAATCTAATCCAAAGCAACTGCTGAACCCCCAAACTCCCCGCTCCATCTGCTCGGAAATTTCTTGCTTGCAATAATCTGTCGATGCTGTGAGTACGTCTAACATCCTCGTCAGAGTGCACTATACAACATGTGGGTAATCTGTGGGTATTTTGTCGGGCGAAAGAATTGCGACATCATATGCAATGCATCAAAGTTGCAAAACCGAAAATAAATCTAGATGGAATCGTGTGCGTTGAATGGCATGAGGGGCCACTACCTCCTCCTGGTTTAGGATTCAGCGCTTTCCCGACAGAAAAGCACCAGGTATCAGCTACTCCCGGTATGGGTGCATAGTCTCAGAAAGTTGGAAGAATGCGGCCCAGTTCTTTCTCAACTACAACAGACAGAGCAGCCTCTCGCTGCGGTCAGATTTTCACAATTTTCCAACAATTTTCCGCTCTCGCCAGTCTCGCCAGCACCATGCAATGTTTTTTTTCTGGTGTGCCACGCAGAAGAATAGAGGGAGATAGATACACATTGCGTGTGCAGCGGGCTGCAAGCCCTCGAGCGTGCATTAGTATCGAAACGCTGTCAGAGTGCTCCTGCTGCGTTCTGCGTTCGTGTCGAGTTCCAGGTCACCCACGGTGTGCTCTTGATTCTGCGGCGTATGCTAAAATTCTGGGGCATGTTCTGACCATTTCGTTCCGAAGGAGGAGCGATTGCCATATGTCATATTAATGCGCACGTCGAAGCGCGCAACCCCGGGTTTTTGGGTAGGGCGAGTATGACTCAATCGCACCGCAATGCCAAAGCAAACGAAAATTCGAAAGTCCCCAGGCAATAAAAAGAGGGCGTTTTGCGCACATTGCGAGCTATGGCTACTCTACATGCACCGATCCCCAACAATGCATCCCCTCCAACAGTGATCCTTGTTGCGGGAACAGCTGGCAGGCGCGGTGGTCCCGGGATTTTAGTGAAGCCGTGTTTTTAATCACGCAATGCTGTAGTCTAGAGTTTGTAGCACACTTTGAAGGGTCGAAGGCAGGAGCAGCAGGAGCGGTGGGACAGAGGCGCCATAGAGAGGAACCTTCCGTGTGATCATGATCACGGACTGGAGCTCCACCCCGGCAGAAACGCTACGAACGAGATGACAAAAAACTGCTCAGTACATGTACGTAGGAACCCAATAACGCGGCCTCCCGGGGCAAAGCGAAGGGTCTATTCGATAAGGTTACACCATAATATCAGTCAGGGTGATCCCTACTCTTTATCCCAGTGATTAAAGCCGTAATCCAAGTGATTCAGCCGGGTGCTAACGAGCTCTGAACATATGCTTTGTTAGATAAAGTTACACCACTGGACCAGTCATTCAGGGTCGTGATCGTTTTCAACAACATGCGAGCCCGACCACAGGGCAGAAAGAAGGGACTACATACATGGGGTCAGCATATGGTTTCTCGTGGTTCCTTCTCAGGGGCACGCAGGAGGCTCGTCGGTGCATTCCCGCGTGTCTTGGGACCCCCAGGCATCCTTGGGACGAGCAATCGGCGCTTAACGTTGCCACGACTGGCTCCATTTCGCGGGAAGACAATCCGAACCAAACACGCCTTCGCGGAAGTTGATTCCTGCGCAACGCATACATGTTCCCATCGACCCATGAGCTATACGCTACAAATAATTATGAGCGAGCGATCAAATGCAACGGGTTGCAGCAGTAGGATCTGCGGTGAAGACGCCACCTCCGAGCAGACGACACGAATGGATGACCACGTCGTGGTAGAGGCACCAACCTGTTCAAAATGCAGCAGCACACGTAGTACACGTGTGTAAGTCATATCGATCGATTGTTGTTGTGTTTTCCGGGTCTCCCACGCTTTCTACAGTTTTGCTAAACCGCCCATGGGCCACCCATGGGCAGCCCATGGGCGGCCAATGAGTGCCGTTCAACTAGAGTACTCCTAAGTAGATTATCTGCCCTGGAACGGGCATAACAGCGGCTCACAACCCTAACGCTACCCCTAACCCTAACCCCAAGCCAACACGATACGTGCTAGGTATACGCTGAGAGGCAAAGTTCTAGGTTGATATGCCGGTGGCGAGTTCTAAGTTGAAGTGTCCGCGGTAGGCACTCGGTGGGCAGTTCCTGGGCTGCCCATGGGACCACGGAGGATTCTATTTACGTCACCGGTGGCGTTATTTCTTATATACGTCACCGNATATCTCCGCAACCACTTATCGGACTTGACCGTCGAAAGGCTTGTATGATTGGCGTGGGTCATAGCTACACAACGCAATTTATTTTGTGCCAATTGAAGCTCTGTNGCACAAAATACATTGCGTTGTGTAGCTATGACCCACACCAATCATACAAGCCTTTCGACGGTCAAGTCCGATTAGTGGTTGCGGAGATTTGCTCAAAAGGGGGCTCAGCAGTATGATACTGCATCTACCACAAAAAATCCCGACTGTAACTTCGCGCAGAGAGCTCCGATCGACACCAATAGCTTAAGTGATGGCTGTGAATCGTGGAAACACAACGCGAGTTACATAGTTGGTGTTGATGAGAACTCTCTGCGAGGAGGCACGGTCGTTTTATTTATGGCAGATACAGTATATCATACCGCTGAGCCCCCTTTTGAGCATATCTCCGCAACCACTTATCGGATTTGACCGTCGAAAGANATGGGCAGCCCATGGGCAGCCCATGGGTGCCCCATGGGTGTACCATGAAGTACCCATGGGCTACCCATGGGTGCCCCATGGGTGTCCCATTCAGAACTCATGGACGGTTTCGCGAAACTGCCAGGATTATGGGAGATTGTGCTCACAGGTGACCAAAAAGGAACCTAGAAGCAAGGGGTCCCGGGGGTGACCTAGGCGGACATGACACAACAAGCACGTAATCTCCAAGTTTATGGTATCGCGACAACAGGTGTTGCCTGTGGGGAGCAGCGAAAGTGTCTTGCAAATGCTCGAAGAGAATAGCAGGGAGTACACTGCTCTCCGCGGTCTTTTCAACGCTCGGTGGATGAAACCACGGCCGGCAAAGGGTGTTTCTATCGAGCGCGTCTACAGCATCCAGGTGCGTTGACCCCAGTATATGTCGGTTATTTGCGATTACAGAACCGCATATGTGTATGCATGAGTCGCGACAACAATTCGTGTAGTCGATAGAACGCCAGAAGTTGGTGCAAGCAGTATCCTGCCTACGCTATTTTTGGACAAACAGCACGTGACGGACGCTCTTCGAAATGGTCCACGGAAAAAATACTGATACAATTTCGTTGCCACGCGCCTCGCCCCACCATGTCAAAATGGGCAGATATGTAAGCAGTCATTCCAGCAACCACTCCCCTAGCCGTGCTACAAAGTGGCGAAAGGCAAGAGTAGGTTAGTCTACGTTTCAGACATGAGCTTTCCTGTACTCACTCGTCTTGCTGCCATTCGTTGATCAGCTTTAACCCCCCTGTCCGTTGCCCTCACAAGGTTTCTCGTGAGATGCGTGAGAAGCACGAGCGGTACAAAGGAATGTTCGGCAATCTGTGCCAACGCTTTCATGGCACCTCCTGCAACGAAGGGTGCAACTTCATGGTCGATCCACAGGTGAACAGCATCGATGTAGACTGCTAGTGTAACGCCCACTTGAAGCGCGTCGCAGGAATAGATTGGCCCATTCACTTTTTCCCGATCGGTTCAAACAACCACGCTCCGGCGCTCGGGTCTCCTGTATTCTGCCCTCCTTGTGGGCGTAGCGTGTCGTCAGTCAAACCTTGTCCACTCGTTCGGGGTCTATTGACGTGCAGGGCGGACAAGCCCCGTGCGGGAAGAGCAGCTGCAGCGTCTGCAACATCTGCAAGCTAGGCTTCAAGCTGGGAGCCAACGTGGCCGGCACGGCCCGGGCAACCGGTGTCCCGCTTCGGTACGGGGAGGGCATCTACTTGACAAGCGTGTCCGGAAAGGCAAACGACTACGCCTCGCGCTCGGCGAAGGTGCGCATGATCATGGGGAATGAGGCTTTCCTCGCGACCCACCAGTTTGTTTTGCTCAGCACGGGGTGACACGCACACCAGGCCAGGCAGGAGCCCTCGCCCAATCCAGTGCTGATATTACATGACCCTCGATATGGAGACAGAATACAACAGAGAATTGCGGTGTAGTTGCCTCGCAGCAGGCAACACAGGCTGCTTCAACGAACACTTCCCGCGTATCATCCATAGTCAATACCTTCTGAAGTAGTAGGTCAGGGACCGAGTTTACCTGTCGGGGTGGAGAGAGTATCCAACAACCTCAGGAAGCCGCTCGTCAGTCCATTGACGGCCTGGTCAAAGAGCAAACGTTACGAAATGATACGTCCTTCTCGCCGCCGCATGTATGTATGTACTCGCGGGTGGTCCCTTTTTGTCTCACTCGCGCCCGGCCCTCTCTCTCCTCTTCGAATTGATCATCATATCAGAAAATCGGTATCGCCTCGGAGCTGAGGTGCATGTTCGTCGCCAGCGTCGCCGTGGGAAGAGCGTTCAAGACCAAGAGTACTAGGCTCCCGGCAAACCAGTGCCCGCCTCCTGGCTATCAATCTGTGGTGGGAGAGGTATGCATTCCCCATCGAGTGGAGGAAGTCAACTCTCCGTACAGACTACTGTAGACTCAGAAACAATGTCATTGCCATTGGCGTGGTTTCAGGTGCTACAATTCAGACTTTGGCATCGGCCGCCTCGACGTGAATGTCCCCAAACAAACCTGAGAAACGCGTACTGCCCCCCTTTCCGTGGCTCAAAACTACTTGTCCTCCGTCCCGTTACGTTCAAAGCAAGAGCTTGTCGTAGTCGGGAGTCTCTTCGTACTCCAAGCCGTACACAACCGTGGTTATCCAGGCTGCAGCGCTTTCATTCTCGCGCTGTTTCGCGGTTGCGGGAGCCGGGGTTACCCTCCTGGTCACAGAAAGCGGTGTTTCTGTGGGTGTACTAAATAGTGGTTCACACAATATGACCGTATACGACACAAGATAACACACTCCCTGGACCGATCTTCAAAGCTCGGTTACGCGACGGCGAAGAGGAGGCACAGATACAATCTCAGAGAGCTCTCAATGACATGGCTTCAACGCCGCCGTTTTCGGCGCTGTGACTCGTTCTGCTGTTGAGAAATTGAGCCTCGAAAATCGGTCCGGGGGGTGTGTTATCTTGTGTCGTATTCGGTAGTCTACTGGAAGAAATGCACAGTAGATCTGTCATGGCAGCATCGACGTCAGAATGTGTAAGTTGGAACTGCCAACGTCTCGCTCGGCGTGGTCTCCCAGCGTTGAGCGGAAATACACGAGATGACATGCATACACGAACTCTTAACGAGGTCACTCCAAGACAAACGCTGTAGGTCAAACTAGGGTGATTTGGCGCTCTGCATTTTCCGGCCGGTCCTGCTTTTTGCGGTACACGTTCAAGCATCACGAGGTGTAGCTGGAGGTGGCGTCGGTTGATTTGGATTCCATGACTTGCGTGTTGTTTATCGCTGAACATCTGAGGTAGATGACATAGCAGCCGCAACGTAAGCTCTAATGTCACCCGTCCAACCTCGGTCATCGCTCGGTAAGGTGGGCCAAGGGCTGAACTTCGACGAGTTCGTGGTGTACAACGAGGAGGCCGCTCTGCCAACTCACCTCATCGTGTATGCTCTTCGGCACTGAGTACGATGAGGTCGAATCTGCGTGGGGTGTTGTGTACCAGCTTTCCTGATTCTGAGTTGCAAGTCGAACGCCAGTAGGGATGGTGGTGCGTGATCTGCGGTTACGAGGGCCCGGCTCACCCTTTCCACCTGCCATGGCAGGGCTTCGGTTGCGAGGCAACCGGCGTCTCAAGGGTTTGATACCATGAGCGATCGGAATCGTCAACGTATCAAGAATCACAACTCTTGTCTCTCTCGTGTAGGTTGTGTTCTCCGTCGTGGGGCTGCACCATTACACGTGCCAAGCCCGGCGCTAGCCTCTGCGGCATTCCCACGCGTCTCTGGCCCCACAATCACACAATTCAGTCGAGCAGTCCCGGAAAAGAAAGTTAGACCCATAAAGTACCCGAGTGTGTTTCCGAACCGGTTCCAACTTTACCTTGCAGTGGTTCCCAGATTTTCGAACAAGGGTTACGGCTACAAATATAGTCTATCCCGATAGGGAGAAATTACAGTATCGTACCGCGCAGACGTACGTGGGACATGAACACCTCACCCCACGAAAAGACGCCAGCGCGAGCGCCCAAGCCAACGCACATGTTCGACTACATACTGCACAGAAGAGGAGACATCGGTAGGAAGATACCACGACAACACCAATCTTTGTCGCATTCAGGGACTAGACTACATGTAGTCTGCTGCGGAAAGACTCGTCACCCCAATGGCTTTCCCCGAGCTACTGCTGTACGTGACTGCACTTATTATGTCAAAATTCGAAAACCAACAAAAAAAGCGTTTGCCAAACAGCCCCCGTTCAGGACAAAGCATTTCTGTAAGGAACGGCGTTCATGTAGCGGCGGCGGAGGGTTCCCGCTGCAAACGGATACTCTCGCCTCGAGACCATAGTTTCCTTGTTCGATAATTCTATTTACTTCACCGGTGGCGTTATTTCTTATATACGTCACCGCCCGTATCTCAGCCCACAGAGCTTCAATTGGCACAAAATAAATTGCGTTGTGCAGCTATGACCCACACCAATTATACAAGTCTTTCGACGGTCAAATCCGATAAGTGGTTGCGGAGATATGCTCAAAAGGGGGCTCAGCGGTATGATATACTGTATCTGCTATAAATAAAACGACCGTGCCTCCTCGCAGAGAGTTCTCATCAACACCAACTATGTAACTCGCGTTGTGTTTCCACGATTCACAGCCATCACTTAAGCTATTGGTGTCGATCGGAGCTCTCTGCGCGAAGTTACAGCCGGGATTTTTTGTGGTAGATGCAGTATCATACTGCTGAGCCCCCTTTTGAGCAAATCTCCGCAACCACTAATCGGACTTGACCGTCGAAAGGCTTGTATGATTGGTGTGGGTCATAGCTACGCAACGCAATGTATTTTGTGCCAATTGAAGCTCTGTGGGCTGAGATACGGTCGGTGACGTTTATAAGAAATAACGCCACCGGTGACGTAAATAGAATCCTCCATATAGACTAGTCTATATTTCTTGCCTGGAGATCGGACACACGGAGAGCAAAACATTCGGGCGCGGGGTGTTTCTGTTGAAACACCTCGAGCTCAACACTGGTGTTTCTGTTGGAACACCTCGAGCTCAACCCTGGTGTTTCTGTGGGAGCACCCCGAGCCCTGATGATGGAAAGTTGCCGAATGGCCGCTTAATCGACAGACTGTGGCCCCTTTGGCGGCCACAAATGCTGCTGAGTGGCTGATTGATAGTGAGGGGTCGAATGTGACAATGTTTTGCTTCCCGGAGCTGCGCTTTCTTTTTGCAAGTTTTGTTTTCTTTTTTTGACAGGACGCGGACGAGAAAGGAAGCTGTCACGGAGTGTTTCCGTGATACCTGCTCAGCGTTGCTGGCAATATCTCATGACCCATGGTGGTGGTCTCACCGCGACAGTTAACTACTTGGTATTTTTTTGGCCACGGCCAGAGGCTTCGGCCGACTAAACTCCGACCAGAGCAGAGCCAGGAGATTGGACCGGCGGCCGTGGATGCTGCCTGCACATGCATGCTTACGTGATGCGGGTGATGTCTGTTAGGATAATCCGAACTGGGGGTAGCTTGTCGCAAGACATGTGTTGAATAGGGTGTCGGCAACTCGGCGGGCTTGGGCCGAGGAGAAAAACTTGGTGTGATTAGTTGCATCCACATACACACAAGCTCCGTTGAGGGGGCGACGCCGTATACACCAGGGGTACCTTGTACATTACTGGAATCCATTCTACGTACCACACATGTCACCCGGTATTCCGCTCTACCTCATTCCATGGGAACATCCCGCACCAACCACTTGGCATCGCTACAAGTATATCTATCAGCCCCCCTGCTTGTGACTATACCATGTCTTCATGATGTTTCAGTATTTCCGGAACACAAGAAAATAATCCAAAACACAACTCAAATCTTCATCAATAGCCTTCTGGGCTAGAAATATATTTCCATCCCCGATCATTCCAATTGTAGTTCTTCGATAATCATAGCGATCCAAGTGCCCCCCAGCCTAGAACATCCTTCATTGAGAAGACCATAGGCCAAAATGTAAAACAATGCCACCCTAGTTCTTTGATCAAACACAAATAAATCCAAATCTACCGTTCCTGGTCCCACACTCATCACGAAATTACGATGAACTCAAAATCTCCGACGTGAAGTGCCTTCGTAAGGAAGTCAGCATGTTGATACGTTGATTCCGCGCGAAAAATCGAAATCTCCTTCCTGCCTACCAGTTCCCTCATAAAGTGGTGCCTTATGTCGATGTGCTTCGAGTTACTGTTGCTAATCGAGTTCTGCGCCAACTGAATAGCCCCCTGGTTATCATCGAGCACCGGAATACACGGCATACATACATACCTGCTTCTGGCAACATGAAACGCCACACCTGCCTCAGAAACAACACTTCCTTCATCACATCCGCACGGGAAACATACTCCGCCTCTGTCGTGCGCAACGTAACGCACTTCTGCGTCCTTGAAAACCAAGAAATACATCCCCACACACACATCACCAATCCTCCTGACACAGACCTCCTATCGGCAGCCTTAATTGCAGACTCTGCGTCTGCGAACACCTCCATGCTCAACCCTGCTACACTACCCCTCCTGAATGTAACCCCCAAGTCACTATTTTCTTACCACATACCCCAAAGTACCAAGACCTGCTCTCCAATGTATTTCTTTGGGAGAAGCACAGTACTGTGCTACCGCTCTCACTGCATTCGCGATATCTGGCCTCGCTTGCGCTGTCAGCCACATCAGTAATCTTATCAGCTCGCGGAAAGGCCATGATACCACTTCCTCGTCCTGGTCAAACTCTGAAAGCTTCAACCCTACAGGACGAGGAATTTTCTTCCCGCAATCTACCCCAAACTCCATCCCCAACTCTTCAGCGTACGTCTGCTGCGAGATCTTCAAAGTCCCTGCATCCCGATCCCTCTCATAAAAACATCCAGAGTACCACCTCAAGACACCAAGATTCTTCACCGGTACCATGGTGTTGAGGTCCCTCACAAATTGTTCACACCTCTCCTCCTCTCCAATCAAAAATATATCGTCCACATGTACTACCAGAGTCACTACCACTCTTCCCTCCTCGATCAACCGAAACACACACGTATCCGCCAGACACTGAATAAAACCCAAACAAACCAAACACCTCCCGTGTGAATGCCTTGATAACACTCTCTGGTTGCTACATCACTTCCTCAAAGGTACCAGCCTCCATCAGACCTCTGAACTCCCTCCCTACAGAGACTACCTACAAGTCAGCATACTCAGAGGACACAGCCTCCCTATACGTTTTGGGCACGCGCAAGTCGTTGGCATAGCAACGTGGAAAGTCCGGTGCTACTTCGGGGGGATTTAAATCCCTCATCGTGCGATCAATGTCCTCGCGGGAGGCAAGCAAGGTGGCGCACGCAAATGGGACTTCTTCACGCAGTCCTTCTGTTTTTGTGCCCCCCCGCTCTCGCCCCCCCGGCTCCGCTCCTTCACTCCCTCCGACTGAACTAGTGATCTCCTTTCTCCCCCTATCGACGACGCTGCGAGTGGTGAGAGTCGACAGGAGCGTTGCCTTGTCCTGCAGGGATACAAGCCCAAAGCGGTGGGCGGGACCGTCGCCGCTCCCGCCGGTGACGTCGACCGCTCGCCCCCCCCGTCCTGGAAACGCACTCCCCGACCCCCCAATCTCCCTGGCACCCGCGTCTCTCGTCTCAAGTCCAGCTCTCGATTGGCCCTGGCAGAGAGGGGCGGCATTGACGACGCCCGCCCCCCCCCTTGGTCCTTAGCGGCTGCCCTCGTGCGCCCAGAAACCCTCATGTCCCCGCGCCCCACGTCCAGTTCACGGATGGTCCTCGTAGTGAGCGGCGGCATGTTGGTCGATGGCGCGGCACCGGGCGGCGCGACGGCGGGAGACGGTGGCACGACGGTGAACGGCGTTGCAGGCGGCGCGGTGGTGGTGAACGGTGGCGCGGCGGCGAGCGGCGTCGCACCGGTGGCGATGGTGTGGCTGCGGTAGACGGCGCCGCCGGCGATGGTGGTGTGGAAGTTGCCGGCGGCGCCTGGGAGGATATGGCAGCGGGTGAAGTGGGATATCGGGCGAACGGTGAGGGGGGTAAAAGAGGCTTTGAAATGTACTCAATTAGAAACGGTGCGGCGGCGACATCCGAATCCCCCCCCTCGCCCGCCGGCGCCGGCATCTCCAGCGGCGGGGTCAGCAACGGCACGCGGTCGGAGACCCACACGACGCTGATCGTCATGCACACGCGCCCCGTCGCGAACTTGAGGCTCTTGACTGCCGACTCGTGATGGTCGTCGCCGTTGTTGAGGTAGCAGCACAGCACTGCCTGGGGATCCATCTCCGCGCGCGCATCACACGCATATACCCCGGCTCTAAGAACGGGACGATCTGGACCGGGGGCGGGCGACCGGTGAAGAGCTCGTGCGGCGACTTGTACCCGACGTTTGCCTTGGTCGGAGAACGGTTGGAGCCGCCGGCAGCCCAGTGACACGACTCTAGCCAAAGCCGCTCGCCATCGCGTCCGAATCCGGGGACGCGGGTGAAGTCCACCTTGGGGAACAGGCGGCGTGCCTCGAGTCGAGCGGCGTGGCCGGCCTTGTTCACGCGCCAGATCGCACACTCCGCCGGACCATTCTGCTGCGGGGTGCCCGGCGCCGTGTACGTACGGCGGATGCCGGCGTTGTCACAGAAGGCGATGAAGTCGCGTCCGATGAACTCCCCCCCGTTGTCCATCCGGAAAGAGCGAGGGACACCGGTGCCACTCATGTCGGCGAGGAACTTCTTGACGAAGGCGAGGGTGTCCGACTTGCGCCTCATCNTGTTTACGTGCGGCGGATGCCGGCGTTGTCGCAGAAGGATGAAGTCGCGGCTGACGAACTCCCCCCCGTTGTCCATCCGGAAGGAGCGAGGGACACCGTTGCCACTCACGTCGGCGAGGAACTTCTTGACGAAGGCGAGGGTGTCCGACATGCGCCTCATCACGTACAGCTTCATCCACCGCGAGAAGCTGTCCACGAACATGAT